AAAATACTTTTAAGGAAATTGAATGCCTTATTACTCTAGGATTTATTCATAACCATTGCTTTGACAATGAACAATTTCTTTAAATTTCTCAAAAGACATTGTCTTTGACAAATTACCTTCCCTTCAAAAATGAAAAATGCAAGAATTGCACTGCTGCAGGGAAGAAAAGAATGAATTAGAGAAGCAATTCTAAGTCTGAAATGCAAGTGGCTTGAAGAAAGAGAGATGCTGACAAAAAGCTTATGCTTACCTCATGCTATCTGAGGTACAAGTTGCCCAGCATATAATCATATTTTCTAAACAATTCATTAAGCTGACATTTATCAGTGCTCTTTGGGGATCAAGTTAGTTGAAGTAGAATATGACATGAACAGTATTTGACATTTTGCTGCTGGTTTAAAGGATGCATTTATGCGTTGAATCAATATAGTAGAATGGAATAATTGTTATTATGCTATTGGTGGTACAATTATTGACACTTAAAACATAATGGTAGAAAGATAGAAAGGCATCAGTACTCCCTGCTGTAATTATATCTATGGAACAAATTTCTAGTGACTTTATTTAGGGTTGCCTGGTCTTTTTTAGATGTCTGTGGAGTTTCTAAGTCATCTAGGTCATGGTTGTCCCAAAGGTACTTTTTCAAAAGGCAACTAGACTTTATTTTTCCTTGAAGACATTTTGCTTCTCGTCCAAGAAGCTTCTTCAGATGATTCTTCAGATGATGTTGAAGGCACAGATTAAACCTCTAAGTAGCCTCAATGACTTTCAGAAAGAGTGCTAACCTAACTCCAATGACCATATGACTTCAAGGAATATAAATCTTTCTATCTTCCACCATTCAATTAGAAATGAAGAAACTTCTTGGATGAGAAGTGAAATGTCTTCAAGGAAAAACAAAGGCTTGGGAAAATCAGAAGAATAGGGCACCGTAACAGAAATTTTGCTGTATTTGATTTCATTAAACTTTCTATCCTTTTGATTGCATGTGAGAGTTGTGGTTTGAAGGGATATTGTTCAGTGGCCCCACTCTCCATCAGCATCTCTATTTTTTAAAAAATATGTTACAATGTCAGTTCAGTTAACTGCAACATTTGCTAATTATTATCATAAAAATACCATATAATCTAACAATTCTGAAAAACCAAGGAAAATTTCTAGATAGGTAACCATGACACCATAACACTACATGGCTTCAATATGAGGACAATCATTTAATATCACCTGTTTTTTGAAAACTTTCCATTATATCATACTATTATTAGTATTACTGCATACTATTACTACAATATTGGTTATTACTTTCTTTTATTCTATCAAAGTAGATAAATTAAATTAAAATACTGAAAAGTTTTATTCATAGTATATGTTTTACATTACTGTGACCATTTCTTTTTTTATTAAAAATTTTATTTTTGAATAAATACAAACAGACAAAACACAAAAAAAACCACAATACCATCTTCCATTACAAATTGCAGAAAGTGTGGTGATTGGTTACAAAAGCTCCCATGCATCCCTTCCACAGTCGTCACCTATAATTCATGTCAAATCATATATTTTACATCAAATATATTTATATATATATTATTGTCATAATACTTCAACCTTCATTTGACTGTAATTGTTTTTACATCCTTTTATCTAAAATATTCCAAATTTAAGGCAAAACCACATAATGGCATTCCATTAGCTCTTCCCAATATCATCCAATAACATTATATCTTTATAACATGTTCTAAATAAAAATTGCTTATATTTAATAACAGAGTTTCTAAACCTCCTTTCGCAGTTACCATTTGCAATTTATATCAGATTTCCTCTTATCAAACATATATATGACATATATACTATCACTCTCTGTGACACTAATATATATATATATTTGTGCTGATAAATAAATAAAGGGAAAATGGAAGCAGTTAGCTTCCTCTCATAATTGGGGCATACCAGGGGTTGTGACACTAAATATATATGGTCTACAATCTATGATCTCCAATCTCTTCTCAATTTTCTCTGTTATTTCTAATAATTTTTGAATTTCAAACATAATCTTTTGCAATGTTAAGGTTTCTTTTTCATGTTGCGCCATTGTTCCAACTTATAAACACTGCCACTCTGGCATTCAAAACTTTTTATTAGGTTTTACAGCAAGTTCATTTATAATCTTTCAAGACAAGGCTTTGTTTTCATTTCACTCCAGCTACCAATGATGTTCCCAAAGAGCACGTGTAAAAACAACCCATGATCTTCTCACTATCATTCTCTGTAAACAAGCTGAAGAACCTTGAAATACAAAGTCAAATGATCAAAAAGAAAAAAGAAAGGACAATATTTCCAAGACTCAAGACTCCAGCCTCCAAATGGCAGTGTTACTTCCTTTCCATCTGTTCTTACAGCCCTCTTTGTATACCTTTTATATCTTCTTTATATTCCAGGCTTAAAGAAAACAAAAATTCTAAGTGGAACAAAAAGAAAAAAGACCATTCAATCCAGCTTTATAAAAAATAAAGAAAAAGATTTTAATCCATAGGTAAAAGAAAGAATATAAAAAGTAGCAGAAAAACCAATCTGTTCAATTTAAGAAATAGGAAACATTTGCAGAAATTCCATCCATTAAAAAACGGATAACAAACTGTGTAATGTGGCTTAATTTTGCTGCTTATTCTCTTCTGTTTTCAAATTTAATTTAGCTTTCATTTTTTGGGGTAGACTCTTTTATAACAAAAGGATTTCCTTACCAGATGGACACACTTTCTCTTTCCGTTTTCCTCCTGTTCCAGAGCTGTCCCAACTTCAGCAGCTTCAAAGGCTGTGCTTCTGTTGTCAGCAAAAAGAGCTTCTCCTGGATCAATCAGGGACTTTGCGGTGTCCCCGAGATCAGCAGGACGTACTCTTTCCTGTCACCATCTCTTAGGGACGGTTTAGGTCCAGCGGCAAAAGTATCAACTGCGATCTTGGAGCTCCAAGATTGCACATCGTGTCGTCGTGACGTCAGCATCCTCTCCTATTTCAGTGATTATTTCTTATCATTAATTCTTATTTATTTATTTGGACTGTGTGGGAACAGATCTTCCTGAAGAAAATCTATGTGATTGCTGAGAGTAAAGTATTGATTTGATGGCACTTTCTTCCCACCCCTTCTCTCTTTCTCTCTTTTTTCCTCACATCCACACATCCAAATGTGTATGTGTGTGCATGCACAGATAATTATGTTTTTATGCTTTAAAAATTAGTAATGTGAAAAGCCTTTCAAATTTGAAGCATTTTTCATATATTAAAAATTCTCTAATCATTATTATCACTTTAAAAGTCTGTGAAAAAGATGCAGTTAAATCGTTTCATGTAATTTATTTTGAAAAAGAAGTGAACTAAAATACTTCAAGCATTGCAGCCAAGCAGCTGCAATTTCTTTGTATGTCAGAAAGAACCACACTGTGACTCTACTTGGTAGATTTCTGGTGAAGTACCATCCTTCAGATATAAAAATGTGAATAAGAAAGAAACTGCTAAATTGTTCATGAAGATACCATATGCTATATTGGTTTGTAAAATTTATACATACATACATACATACATACATACATACATACATACATACATACATACATACATACTTTTTAAAATGGAAAAATACATTTTGATATTTAAGAAGTATGAAACAGACAAGTATACTGTGTAGTAGATTTTTATTCTGTGGTGTATGATAGAATAGTCTAAAATATCTATTATTTAAAAATATAATTTCCTAGCTAATGTCAAACAACATAGATGTGATTTGAAACAACCATTGTCAAATAGCTCAGTTGCATGTTAATCAAAAACACGTACCCACTATTTTAGTGTAAAAAATGGCATAGTGTGGCCTACCTGTATTATTCTTTGCTCATATCCAATGAAAAGCATATGGATAATGATTAGACAACTATTCATGAATCTGTGTGACATATCTAGAAGGTGGAATCGTAGGTACTCTCTGAGCTTGATGGTTTGCTTATAGACATTTCATTACTTGACTACTGTGTTTCCCCAAAATTAAGACCAGGTCTTATATTAATTTTTGCTCTCAAAAAACACATGAGGTCTTATTTTCAAGGAAATATGATACTAAATGCATCCATCTGGCTGACGATCTTAACTGGGGCTTATTTGGGGGGGTGTTAGGGCTTATATTACAAGCATCCTGAAAAATCATGCTAGGGCTTATTTTTCAGTTGGGTCTTATTTCAGGGAAACATGTGCTAGTGACTATGGAGTTTGCTTGTCCTGCCAATATTAGTGAAATGTGTTTTTCTCCTTGGTATCTTAGTCAAGTAATGAAACACTACAAGCAAAGAACCAGGCTCAGAGACAGAGGTGGGTTTCTGCCAGTTCACCCCAGATAGGGCAAATCAGTAATGGTGGTGGCAGGAGGTTCCGCTCACCTGCCCAGACATTTCCGTGCATGCACAGAACCCTTTTGCAAGCGTGCGAGTGCATGTACAAGCGAACCGGTATTAAAATAAATTGAAACCCACCACTACTCAGAGAGCATCAAAGTTTCTACAGTTCAATCCTCAGCTACATATATTATCTTCTATAGGATATTCAGAAGGCTTCCACTTGCATTCTCTTCCAAAAGAAAATTAATCTTTCTCCTACTTAAAAAATTCAGATTTTTTTGAAATTAGGTTATCCAATAAGGTACAGGGGTGTCAAACTGGTGGTCCTTGGGCTGGATGCGTCACATGCAGGCCACACCCACCCCATCTCCACATAGGGGGAAAACATCACAAAACATCACGTGACAGCAACGTGACATTGGCAAATTTGACACCCATGTTATAGAAGATTCAAAGGATTGGAGAAAATATAAATGAAGATATAAATGAGAGGGGAAAAACATATTTTACAACCGCAATTATTTCTTTACTGTGATTCCTACATACACTTTGCAAACCTGATCATTTTTGAGTGAACAGTATTAGCTAACCATTCTCTTCATTTCTTCTACTTTGTAGATTCATACCTCCTTAATCAATGGGCGGCCAAGTGCAGATGATCCTTCTCCAACACTATTGGAGTTTACATCGGCTCGTTATATTCGCTTAAGATTTCAGAGGATACGGACACTAAATGCGGATTTGATGATGCTTGCACACAGAGATCTCAATGAAATTGATCCAATAGTCACAAGGAGGGTAAGTCCTGCCAAAGATGCTAGAATGTGCATTTGCAGTAGTTTTTTTCACCTAGAATTCAAAAGGATTTGGTTATTTCAGAATTATGGAACATCCGTTTTTATTCTTTCTGAAATAGCAATTTCCCTTTCATATTCTCATTTAAAGAAAAATAGCAGGATCAGTGTATATAAATTTTTAAGGCTGAAATATATTTTGGAAGGTTTTTTCCCAAGTTTCCCTTCTTATTTGTATCAAAAAGCCATGAATAGGGGCAGTGAATGAACAATTCATTGTGATAATCAATTCCATTCTATTCCAAACTATATAGCACCACTCTTTGTAAACCACTGCTAATGGCAAAGATACCATTATAAATCTCTGCACCCAATGTCTGAAGAAAGCAATGTTGGAGGAAAAGAGGACGCTTGCTGTTTTCCTCTATAGTTAACCTGCTTTTAGGTAGTTTGAGAATATGGTTGGTGATATATTTTCTACAATAGAATTTTATTGTTGATATACCTTTTGCAGAAAATTATCTGCTGTTGGAGATCAGAAGGTACAACTGGTCCAATGCACTTCTTCATGAGCAGTTATAGAAGCTTCTTGCTTTGCCCATGTAACACTGTTGCTTTGTCTGCTGTATTGGTTACTGCTGAGCCTCTGGATGCAATTTAAGATGTTAATTGTGACCTCTAAAGCTCTATAGGACTAAGGTCTGGTTACCTACACCATATGCACAATTATTAGGCAACTGAGTATTTTGACCATATCATCCTTTGTATGCTTATTTTCCACCTCCAAGTTTTATAAACTTAAGTGCTTAGTGGATATAAGCAGATCATGTGATGTGTATTTGTGTAATGAGAGAGGGTGTGGCCTAAGGAGATCAACATCAAGGTGTGTATAATTATTAGGCTGCTTCTTTTCCTCAGGCAAAATAGGCTAAAAAAGAGATTTAACTGACTCTGAAAAGTCAAAATTTGTAAAAGATCTTTCAGAGGGATGCAAGACTCTTGAAATTGCTAAGATATTGGGATGTGATCACAGAACCATCAAATGTTTTGTTGAAAATAGTCAATAGGGTTGCAAGAAACATGTTGAGAAAAAAAGGCACACCTTAACTGCCAAAGATTTGAGAAGAATCAAACATGAAGTTACCAGGAACTCATTATCTTCCAGTGCTATCATATTTCAGAACTGCAACCAACCTGGAGTGTATTTGTATTTGTATTTACCTTTATTTGTATGCTGCCCTTTTCCCTGAAGGGACTCAGGGCGGCTCACAATTCAAAAGGGAGGGGGAAAACGACAAACAGTAAACAATACAGCATATTAAAAGAGAAAAAACGCAACAATCACACCATTCGAGTGGGGCTATAATCTTAGCCCCAGGCCAGCCGGGACAGCCAGATCTTTACAGCAGCGCGGAAGAATTGGAGGGTGGTGAGGGTCCGAATCTCCACGGGGAGTTCGTTCCAGAAGTACAAGATGTTCAGTGCTCAGAGACATGGCCAAGGTAAGGAAGGCTGAAATCCGACCATCATTGAACCAGACACATAAGTTGAAATGGCAAGACTGGACCAAGAAATATCTGAAGACAGGTTTTTCAAAGGTTTTATGGTCTGATGAGATGAGAGTGACTCTTGAGGGACCCAGATGGACCCAGATGGACCCATAGCTGAATCAGTAATGGCCATAGAGCTTCACTTCAACTCGGACACCAGCAAGGTGGAGGTGGGGTACTGATATGGGCTGGTATTATGAAAGAGGAGCTAGTTGCACTTTTTGGGGTTGAAGATGGACTCAAAATCAACTCCCAGACCTACTGCCAGTGTTTAGAAGACACTTTCTTCAAGCAGTGGTGCAGGAAAAAGTCTGCATCTTCAAGAAGACCATGATATTTATGCAGGAAAATGCTCCATCACATACATCAAAGTACTCCATAGTGTGGCTAGCCAGTAAAGGCCTTAAAGATGAAAGAATAATGATATGGCCCCCTGCATCTCCTGACCTAAACCCTATTGAGTACTTGTGGCCTCTTCTTAAATGGGAGATTTATAGTGAAGGAAAACAGTACAATTCTCTGAATGGTTCTGGGAGACTGTGGTTGCTGTTGCACAAAAAGTTGATCATCAACAGATCAATAATCTGACAGATTCCATGAATGGAAGGCTTATAATATTGTTATTGAAAAGAAGGGTAGCTATATTGGTCACTGATTTTTTTTAGCTGTCAAAAATGTTTATTTGTAAATTTTGACTTCTTTATTATTTTCACTTTAACAGATGAAAATAAATGAGTGAGATGGGATTTTTTTTATTTTTCATTTAGTTGCATAATATATCTTGCACACTAATAGTTTCCCAATAATTGTGCACACATAGATATTCTCCTAAGAAAGCCATAGCCTAACTTTACTTTCTTAAATATTCAGGTTTGAGGTGGATTGACTGAGAGCACTGTAGTTGTTCAGTAATAAAATTAATCTTCCAAAATACAGTTTGCCTAATAATTGTGCACACAGTGTATGAGACATTTTTTCTTCTGTTCTTTTTGCCCAATCTTAAAGATTGGGAAAAATAACTTCTTTTCACTTCTTCTTTTGCTAAAATTGGCATACCTTAATGATAGCAAACACTTGAAGTGCTGTCCCGAATGCCTTTATGAAAAGGCAGAGGAATTTAGCCATATGATTTAGAAAGCAGTAATAATGCTTCAAATGACCCCTCTTAGAAATATGGCTCTATGAATGAACTGGATGTCATGAATGCTCTATTCTCAGGTCATCTAAATATATGCATTATTGATCCCCAATGACCATTTTTACTGTAAAAGATAATAAAGAGTAAATCTTGTGCAAGAAAATGATGCAAGAAATGCAACTAAATATTTTAATAGTCACAGGAAGTTTTATATTAACTGGTGGATTAGTGAAATTTAATGAAACAACATAAGGCACAGTTGTAAAGTTTCACTTTTAAACATACATTATTAATTAATTTGCCACTTTAGAGCTGATTGGAGCTGATTATGAATATCCATTTTATATAAAGAAGATCCCTTCACATTGTAGGATCTACAGAGATAGGATTTTCAGGAAAGAGGAGATATTTGCCACCACCCCCTTCCCCCCCCCCCCCTGAAACTCACTGAATTATCTCCAATGCCCTGACTCACTGCCCTGATTCACTGAGTCCATTTTCAACATAAAACACTGTAAAGAAAAAAGGTTTGGGGTAAATTTCTCTTCTGCCTACAGTATTTCAACATAATTAATGCCAGCTCTTGTTTGGGATTTAGGAAAACCATTATAGGAATGCAGAAGGATTATAGTTTCTTTACCCAAACACCTAGAACCTTATTATTGAATTATTTTTATAGTAATAAAATACCATGCAGTGTAAATATATTTCTTGACTTTTGTGAAAATAAAGCACATATTTGCTCCCATCATTTTTAAGCTCGTGATTAGGTACCAAAATGATACTTTCTTGTTTTTAGTTTGCACCATAATAATAACATAGATCTTTCTTTTTAATTTTCTTTTCAGTATTATTATTCTGTGAAAGACATCTCAGCAGGAGGAATGTGCATCTGTTATGGCCATGCAAAAGCATGCCCATTCAATCCAGCCACAAATGTAAGTATTTTTCAACACTATTCTAATATGAAAAGGGCTATACAATGCACACATGTACAATCTCCTTTGGTCTTGATTATACAACTTCTCAACAACAAGGTTTTCAAAGTCATGACTGAGATAACTTTCTTTTCAGGCATATCAAATTTTGAAAAACACTCACTTTGCAGCATCTTAATTTGAAAATAAGCTTAACAGTAAGTGTGCAAAGTATATAATAAAAGTGTAAAGGATGGAAACCTTACCATGAATTCTATTAATTCTGTCTACAAATGATATGACTTGTAGTAATTCTCTTTCACATACAACTATTCTAGGTGTTCCTTCCACCCCCTGAAATCTGGAGAAGGGGTGGGGAAAATTATAAAAACTCATGCTATTTTCAATCTAATTGATGGCTGATTCCCAACAGCAGAGATAATTATTGATGGTGGTGGGAAATCATATGCTTTCTTAATTACCTGGGTTGATTGACTGAAAAAAATCATTTTATTTGCATTTGCATTTTCTAAATTAATTTCTTAAAATTGTTGTCTCTATGTACATGCGTATGAGACCAGAGATATTTCCTAGCTATAAAAGAGCACTGTATGATCAAAATTGTATTAACTAGCACTGTATTAAACACTTTCTTCAAAAATATTCATCAATCATAATTTTACCTGAGATCATATGTATTGAAAGCCTCACATATCACTTATTAAAATTATTTTTCTCTTTATGGTATATTCCTGTTTTAGCAGGCACGATGCAAACAGATTTATGTTCCAAAAAAAGAGAATGTTTTTTTCCAAGAAACTTTCTTTGAAATAAGGACACAAGTGACCTTCAGTTTCACTGACAGTTTGTTCACTATAAGCAGTCCTATACTTATTAAAACCTTCTTTGAATAGAAAAACTGGGAAGGTCATTGCATAAAGAGAGTTTAATTTATCTAGTATACCATATGGAAAGAAAGAGTAAAATGTTGTGAAAGCATTCCTTAGTAGATCTAAGATTTGAGATTTGCAGGATTCCTTGATTAATATTCTCATCATGGAAATATGAGTCAATTCCTGTTGGATTACTCTGCTAATGATGAACTATTTAGAAACAAAAAGTGAGTTGGCTGCCAGCAATAAACTATTAAAAAGCATATTGGCATCTAATTCTTCTCTAGATTTGTCTGTGTTTGTCTAAAACCTCAGCTTATTTATTTGCGGGTACAGTATATCACAATTATTTTACATGGGTTGTATCAAGATTTGCCATTCCACTGCTGAAAAAACAACTTCTTTCATGGAAGAAATTGGATATAAGAGAGTGGGGGTAAGACACAACTATATAATCTGTTGATCCATTAGCTATTTTGATAGAATCATAGTCTGCTTGGATATAGGAGTGGTGTGGTGGATATAGGAGTTGTGTGGAAATCTTGCCTCACAATCAGAGGCTATGAATTCGATCCTAAGTAGAGAGAGGCAGATATTTCTCTCTCTGGGCACAATGAGAACAAAATCTGCTGAACAAAATATCTGTATTGGCGTCAGGAAGGGCATCCAGCCAGTAACTGTTTATTTCATTTGTAAACACTCTGCTTGTAAACTGTTTATTTCATTGTAAACACTCTGCTTGCTCCATTCAGTTGCCCATACTCCACCCAGCAAGGGATTATGGGGTTGTTAAATGATAATGACGATGATAGACTGCTTGCATATCATGGCTTCATCCAGTATGTTATCAAGACACTGTTTTGTGTTTTCTGATTGCCAAGGTTTATAATTGGTTTAATACATCCTATCCTATCCATCTACTCCCACCCCACTCCACCTCACCCCCATCCCATCCCATCCCAACAGAGATCTTTTTGTGCATGTGAACATAATACTTGTGGAGAGAGCTGTAATCGGTGTTGCCCTGGATTTAATCAGAGACCGTGGCAAGCTGGGACTTTCCTTGTAAAACATGAATGTGAAGGTAAGTGAAATAATTCAATGGATGTGATTTATAACATGAATCAAAACAAAAAAGCTTACCTTTATATATGTGTGTGTGTGTGTGTGTGTGTGTGTGTGTGTGTGTGTGTGTGTGTGTGTG